AGATACTTCTATTTTAAAAGTAGGACAGGCAAAGGGCCCTAAATTGAAGGAAGGTTCCTATACTCCTATCAAAGTAGACTTCAGAACTTACATGTATTTTGTAGTATCTAGAACTACTGCTAACAAAGTATACAAAGAGTATATTCAAAAACTGTAAATAAATCAAAATGGAGTTTTACAGACTGTTCAAGAAATCTGCCAGAAAGCCAGATAAGAAAAATAGAGCAATGAGGAACAAAAATACAAATATTACAATGGCATACTTCACCCCTACATATCAATAATTTAAATGTAAATAGTCTAAATACATCAATTTAAAGGTGACTGGTAGAATGAATTTAAAACCATACAACCCAACTCCAAAAATGCAGAGCACCTGGCTAAAGAGGCTGCAGCGGGGCTTCCATAGAGTGGGGCCTGCCCAGAACAGAGACCCCCCACGGCCACCCCTCCAACTCAGGGAAAGAGGAACGCATGGGCTCACAGCTCCCTTCGCTCTGTCCTGTTCACAGGAGAATCCTAATGCAAATGACAGACGCACACCAGCAGAGGCGTAGAAGGTGGGTAAAATCTTCAGTATGTCCGTGTCCAGGGGTAAGTCTGCTCTGTGGAACTGAACCATAAGAGTGTGGCTGCAGGTCCCTGTGACTGTCACACTAAGAGTTTGGGAAGTTCCCTGTGATTCTTCCAACTGGAAAATTCTGTCTTTAGCTCAGCAACCCTGGGACAAGAGGAGTCAGCAACCACCCTATACAGGTCATGGTGTTCACTGAGGGTAGCTGGCAGCCAGAGATCACCGTGCTCTGCCTCAAGCACATGAGCTATTATTTAGATATTAGAGGCATGTTCCTAGTCCAGAACTAAGGTGAGAGTGTAGCATTTCAGGGTCACTGAAGATTCATGACAGCAAGCAGGTGTCTGTTGTTTTCTTTTCTAGAAACTGAAGAACACAAGTGGCTTCTAAAAAATAGGATACTGTAAACACCTTCCCTTGTTAATGGTTTTGTTAGAAAGAAAAGAAACACCGGTGTATCCTCAAAGGTTTTTCAGTTTTGATAATTTAAAAATAGTAAGTTAATCTGAACTTTAGAGCAGGCTTCTATTATATCCCATAGAAATCTCCCACAGGTATACAAATGCCTAAAAAGATTTTTACTGAATTTGGTATACTATTAAATTTTTTATGATTCTTTCCCCCCAAAGCATCTACTTTTTTCAAATATACAAATCAGCCTAGTTTTCTGTACATTAGGGGGCACAGTCACTAGAGAAACAAAAAAGCAGATTTGTTTGGAAAGTTGATTCTGGGAAATGACCTACGAGACCCTGGGCAAATACATTCCTCTGAACCTGTCTTCTTGCCTGCAAAATGGGGCACATAAAGATGCTTATGCCCAGAAGACCAGAAATACCACACTGAAGCAGCCTGAAGATGGCTCCGAAAACTGGGAAGCACAGCACAGATGCCAAGGCTGCCGTCTATGCGGCTGTCGGGGCCTCTAGCAACTCAAGTGTCTCCACCTTACACACTTGCTGGTCTGACCAGGGAAGAACCCAGGATCTTATTCTCCTTGGTCTTGTACACTCTCAAATTAACTTGATTTTCAAAAAGCTACAGAGGACTTCCAAAAACACCCTGATAACTAATTCTATGTCTTTTAGTGACCCTTTTCTACACGCAGCTGACTCATTCTTTGGAAGAATGCTCTGGGCTGTGTAACTCACGCAGGTGTGGGAGTCTATGTCGATCTTGTCCTGGCGCCATGCTATCTGAGCTCAGGTCCTGTCTGGTGTTTGTCGTAACTAAACTTAGGAAGCAAGATTTCTTCTTGACTCTTCTTTCCACATCAAGTGGAAAATTCATGTAGAAACTCCAACTTCCTAAATTCTTGTCATCAATTTCACATGAAAGCAACTTGCTGATTCTGACAGAGGCGGTAACCAAAGCCCTGAAGTACTGAACAGCCCACTCAACACACTTTCAACAGTTTTGGGATGCTGACAATTATTTGTTTTCACATTTTAAAAAGGATTTTCAGAAATTAATGAGAAACAATGTGGTTTTAGGGGAGTGGTGAACTACAGACCAACCCCATGGGGTTGGGGACTTGGTTTTGCTCACATGGCATTCTTTTTCTTTCATTCATTTCATTCAGCTTTAAAGGCTGGCCAGACAAGCTGCCTGCCACTCATGTTCACATCACCACCTGCAAAGTGTACGAGCAGGCACAGCATGGAATTTGTAGAAACACAGGGCTGAGCAGAAATAGAAGGACCACACTATCTGGTCACCTGTCTATGCAAGAAGCCTCTACAGCACCGTGCATCTGCAGAACATCCCCAGGGAGGGACCAAAACCGGCTTTTCAAGGGTGTCCATGTCACTTCTCTCTTGTATGACAGCTGTGTCTCTGAAGACAGTCTCATGATCTCCCAAGTTCTCTCTGAGCCAGCCCCTCCCCCAGCTTGTCCAGCACCTTCCACCAAATGAACTGAGGCCACTCAGTCCCCTCCCATCTGCTCTGAGATAGTGGAGGACATCCCAGGTGTGCTCTGACCTGCTGGGCAGACAGGCGAGCAGACCTCTCACCTGCCATCCCAGCAACTGCATCCTGAGCAATGGAGGCAATGTTTACATGATGTTCAGGTGTCTGGGGCATGAAACAGATTTTACTGGAGAAGAAAACCCTTACTCAGGCCATACTGCTAAGGAGAGAAGGCTTATTTCCAGACCCAATTGGACTTTCCAGTAATTCCCTCCAAACTATACTCTGTTGTTCCGACTCCAGTTTTCCAAGCCCCTCCACACGCTAACTCCTACCATTCAGTACATTTCTTTAACACCCCATTAACTCTGAGGCTCCATCCCCACCTTACAAGTGAGAGTACTAGAATATCGTGGGGTGGGAGAGCCAGAAGTTAACCCGGTCTGGACACCAAGGCAGGAAAGGAGACAAGATGAGCACTCCTTTCAGCACACGTGGCCTCACGTCAAAGGGGCAGAGAGTGCCCCGTGAGAACCTGTCTCCACAAACTTGGGCCTGTCCAACTGCAGAAGTGCCCCAGGAACTGTTCAGACCCTGAGGCAAGGTGCCTGGAAGAAGACCGCAGGGATTTGAGTCTTCATGTGCCCTGATATGCAGAGCGCGTAGGAACACCCTGTAAAGGTGCCCCCTGAACCCTCCTCAGACTCCCACCAGACTCAGCTCTCACTTCTTCCTCTTACTCTGGTTCCCAGCTGGTGGCATCTCCTTTACTGAGAGTCTCCCCTTGAAGGCCAGGTCCACACCTGATGTATCTTCTCAGCCCTACTGGCCAGGGAAGCACGAGGTCCTAAGCGACTGCTGGTAGATAAAAGAGAGGGCAGAGAACACCAGCAGAACCGCAGAGGGGTTCAGAATCACAGAGCATGCGATGGCCCTGAACACTGGACGGTGCCCACCTCCTCCCTCCTTCCCCTCCGGTCTCCCTTCTCCCAGCTTAAGGGACTATACTACTGGGGATTAAGTGACAGCTGACCCCACCAGGGTGCCAACTGACAATGGCTCCAGGCAGGCAGGCTCCAGGAGGGCTGAACAAGGGACACGTTCGTTTCTTTCGGAGTATTCCAGAGTAACTCCCTGCAAATATGTTTGATTGAAGCCCTGTTCCCGGGTCTCGCCGGGGCTGATTTTGCCTGTGTATTCAGACCCAACAATACACACCCTACTTAAAGTTCAAGGTTGGAATGAGGTCGGTATCATTCCAGAACCAGAGCAATTCATTCACTTGCATATTTATCTTCAGGTGTAATAAAGCAGGTTTATTTTTAAAGGAACTTACAGGCTCTTGGGCAAGGCTCTGCGTTGCCTCTGAATACTGGCACACACTCAGGCATTTCCTTCTTTTAGAGCAACTGTACTCTTCACTTGGGTTTACAAAAATCCTGGGGGAAACAGTGCTGCCTTGGCGGCAGGGGCAGTGGGGAGAGACACCAGGCGGCCACGAGTTTGAACTGTCAGCCCACGCCTGACTGATCCCACAAGCAGGAAGGGCCCAGGGCGTTAGTTGGCATGAAGGAGCCGCCCCCAGGTTAACTTTTCTGTTGGTGGTTAACCAAGAATTCCCTGTATAAGAAAGTACACAACAGTTTTTTTCCAAAGTTTTGAAGTTCTCTAATCTGTATACTGTGTCATGGTAAAGCTGAAAGGTGAGGTTCAATTTAAATTAACGCTGTCTTCATTTTACAGCTATTAATTATTTTTGCCTTTTTGAAATTTAAGGCATCTAAGAGCTGTCCCATAGAAAGTTCAATTTGAGTTTGAAACTGAGTCTAATTTAATAAAATTCAGTGCAGACTTGTGCCAGAAACAAAGGGCTGCCTTGCAGTTTAGACACGTGCCTATTTCTCTCCAAGAAACGTTTCAGTAAGATTCAGTCATACATGCTAATAGCTTTGCTTCAAAAACATTTTAAGATTGTATACTTATTCTATCAAAGAATCAGTCTTTTGTAAAACAAAAATGAAAATGAACTGTGTTTAAGACTTAGAGGGAAATCTCAATCATGCAATCTGATGTTCTTTTAGGAAAAAAAAAAGAATAACCCTGAGGGATTCTGGAGTCTTTCCCTTCTACAACTTTCCCAAACGTTGCCCTCCCCACCCTGTCGATGGTTTTTGAGCTTGGAAAGACTCAGAATAATAAATTAACATGAAAAAGCAGGATAGAAGTGCTAGAAGTTCCTACCACGGAGTACTTTTATAAAATGGTACTAGTATTCTTTTCAGTATATGGATACAAAAAAAATAACCAACGTCTATTAAGAAAATACCCCTAAAGCCAGCAGAATCCAGCCCAGCAAGCTACTATGATAAAACGATCTGGCCGCCTCAGCTTTTTACCTCCCCGCTCCCAAGCCTTTGAAATTTGCTGTAACAAGATCTGACCTGTAAGAATTCTGCAAAGAACTTCTGCCAACTTGCTTCAAAGAATAACAGAAAAAATTACAGAAATGCAACAATTTAGCTTGCTGATACAAGTTTGATTTTAATCACTTGAAGTAGAACAATGTTTTGATCTCAGGCTAATGACCATGGGCTAATCTTGAGAACGGCGGAGAGGCAGTTTTGCTTTGCATGTAGAGAACCAACGGGTGCTATGCCTCTGTCTATTTTGGTCTCGGTCAGTATACTTTACTTTCTGATAGCACCTATTTCATAAGCAATCATTAAATCAACGCTTGATTTTGCTTCATTACCCATAAACATCTGCAAATTCAATTCCTCTTGTTTCTACCTTAAACTCTCTGTAGAGGTACATGCAGACCTTGGACACCTTAAATTCATACATTCTAAAATAATCACTTACTGGTACAGAAGTCAATAGCCCTGTGATTCACATCAAGTTAATTTCAACACTGTCTGCACCATTTGTTTTTGTTGGTTTTGCTTGTTTGTGTTGGGGTTTTTTTGCACTGATCTTCGAGTTGTGTTCAGATTTCACACTGTTCATTCTTTGGTAATGCTTACAGCTAGCAGAGCTAGATGTTTATTGTGCTAAAGGAAACTGCCAGATATTAGTATCAACTCCTCATCTATGGGGATAGGAAAGAAGCCTCCTTAAGAATGTGGTCACCAGGACAGGAGTGTCCTCTATCAGTTAGTCTTTAGGTGAATTAGTAGCTGGGTACTTTCAAGTCTCTGGTGAGTTTAAACTAACCTGCAGAAGAAACAGTGGCACAAGAGCAGATCACAGAAGATTCCAAGCTCAAGAGTATGGGGAACATGGCTTTGAGCACCACTGTATGTACACCCCCAGCTCCCAGTGCAGTGCTGACAAAGGTAAGTGCCCAATGTGTGTTAGCTACTATAGTAGAGCAGGCACTTCCCAAGTACTTCCTGAATGCGAAGTGGGTTATAAACAACAGACTGGGTGGGGAAGACAGTGGCAAGGCCTGAGTAATGGGTAAGTTGCTGTTGTCTGGAATATCCTCCTTCTGTGCTAGGCAAAGCCCCAACTGCATGACTGAGAACACCCAGTAGGACAAACGCTGTGTGAGCTCATTTTTACAATATATAGACAATATGATTGTGCAATGCATTTTACAAGGCCAGTGTCACATCAGCCATTCTGTATTTTAGTTTTTGTTGCAATGATGCCAGCTACCAGCTCCTTACTTCCAGCAAGTGGATATCTCCATCGATTTCCAGTGTGTCGATACTGCTAAGCTCTTTAAATCTGTGTTTGTACTCCAGGCAGTGAACACCATTTACCGCGACCTTGAATTCTTTAACATCACAATAAATGATCATCTGAAAGGAAAGGACACACACATTAGTGCTTCCCCTTGTTTAAAAACTGTTATCGTATACTAAGAATGTAAAATAAATAATTTGCCTTGCTCTATACACATAGAGAATTCTCACAGCCTGCTGCTGCTGACTTCCCTTCTGTGACTGCTAAACCCTCATCTCACTTAAGAGTTCTGGAGATGGCACCTTCTGCCTTGTCCCACCTGGGAAAGGGACTATCCCAGCGCCTGGTGAGCCTACCTTTCACACACATTCCCTCACCTGTAGCCTTCGCTTACTCCTTGCTCCATGCCAAGTTGAAAGTTGCCCCTCCTCACCAATGCTTCAGCCCTCTAATGAAGTAGGAAAACTGCTGGTATTTTGTTCTTATTTTCCCATCACCTCACCCACCTGTCCACTGGCAATCATCAGCTTGCTCTCTGTAAGTCCTTTTGGTTTAGTTTATTCATTTGTTTTATTATATTCCACATATAAGTGAAATCATATAATACTTGTCTTTTTCTGTGTGAGACATTTCACTTAGGCCCATTCATGCAGTTGCAAATGGCAAGATTTCGTTTTCTGTTGCTGAGTAATACTCCATTGTATAGAGGTTGCTTCCCTATCTTGGCATTACTAGTCACACTGCAGTGAATGTAGTATGACTATAATTTTTTGAATTAGTGACTTTGCTGGAAATCTGGATTGTATAGAAGTTCTATTTTTAATTTTTTGAGGAATCTACATATTGTTGTCCATAATGGCTGCACCAATTTAAAATGTGACTAATAGTGAAGAGGGTTCCCTTGTTGTTTATTTATTGATGCTAGCCATTCTGACAGGTGTCAGGTGGTATGTCATCGTGGTTTTAATTTGTGTTCCTCTGATGATTAGTGAAGTTGAGCATCTTTTCACACATCTGGTGGCCATCTCTGTCTATTTAGATGCTGTGATCATTTTTTCATTAGGTTTTGTTTCTTTGGTGCTGAGTTGTCTGAGTTCTTCATAAATTTTGGATATTAACCTTTTTAAATAATATATTTTATTGGCTCTGGCTGGCGTAGCTCAGTGGATTGAGCGTGGGTGGGCCTGCGAACCAGAGTATCGCAGTTTGATTCCCAGTCAGGGCACATGCCTGGGTTGCAGGCCAGTTCCCAGCAGGGGACGCATGAGAGGCAACCATACACTGATATTTCTCTCCTACTCTTTCTCCTTCCCTTCCCCTCTCTCGAAAAATAAATAAAATAAAATAAAATATTTTATTGATTATGCCATTACGGTTGACCCATTTTCCTTCCTTCATTTCCCTCCACCCTGCACACCTCCTCCCACCCACATTTCCCCCCTTTAGTTCATGTCTATGTGTCATTAAATTCGTTAGCTTCTACATTTCCCACACTATTCTTGTCCTCCACATCTATTTTCTACATACCATCTGTGCTACTTATTCTTTGTACCTTCTCCCCCCCTCCTCCTCTCACTCCCCTGTTGCTAACCCTCCATGTGATCTCCATTTCTGTGGCTTCGCTCCTGTTCTGTCCTCTTAAGTTTGCTTTTGTTTTAGGTGTGGTTGTTAATAACTGTGAGTTTGTTGTCCTTTCACTGTTCATGTTTCTTTAACTTCTTTTTCTTAGATAAGTCCCTTTAACATTTCATATAATAAGGGCTTGGTGATGATGAACTCCTTGAATCTGACCTTATCTGAGAAGTGCTTTATCTGCCCTTCCATTCCAAATGAAAGCTTTGCTGGATAGAGCAATCTTGGATGTAGGTCTTTGGATTTCATGACTCGGAATACTTCTTTCCAGCCCCTTCTTGCCTGTAAGGTCTCTTTTGAGAAATCAGCTGACAGACTGATGGGAACTTCTTTATAGGTGACTGTCCCCTTATCTCTTGCTGCTGCTTCTAGAATTCTCTCCTTCATTTTAATCTTGGCTAATGTAATTATGATGTGCCTTGGTGTGTTCCTCCTTGGGCCCACCTTCTATGGGACTCTCTGAACTTGACTTCCTGGAAGTCTATTTCCTTTGCCAGATTGCAGAAGTTCTCCTTCATTATTTGCCCAAATAAGTTTTCCACTTGTTGCTCTTCCTCTTCCCCTTCTGGTACCTGTATAATTCAGATGTTGGAACTTTTAAAGATGTCCTGGAGGTTCCTAAACCTCTCATTTTTTTGAATTCTTGTTTCTTCATTCTTTTCTGTTTGGTTGTTTCTTTCTGCCTTCTGGTCCACTTCACTGATTTGAGTCCATTTTCTTTCCATCACTATTGGCTCCCTGTGCATATTCCTTCATTTCATTTAGTGTAGCCTTCATTTTTTCATCTAATTTGTGACCAAAATCAACCAGTTCTATGAGTATCCTGCTCACCAGTGTTTTGAACTGTGCATCTAATAGGTTGGCTATCTCTTGGTTGCTTAAAAGTATTGGCTCTGGGGCTTTGGTTTATTCTTCTGTTTGAGCCATATGTTTTGGTCAGGCCACACCTGTTACCTATAAGGGGCAGAGCCTTAGGTGTTTACCAGGGCAGGGCAACCCAGTTGCTGGGTCGTGACTCTATGTGAGGGCAGGGTCAGAGAGGGAACAATGGCACTTGTTTCGCTCTCTCTAGGATTTCAGTCCCTTCTGCTACTTCCCACAAGCAAATTGGGCCCTTCTGGTGCTGGTTCCTGAGTGGGTGGGCGTGAGTACATTCTAGGACCCTGTGAGTCTCTCCAGCGAATTCTCCTGTGAGGCTGGGAGTCTCTCCTGGCACCTTTTCAATTGGTGCTTTTAGGCTTTATTTCCTGTTGCTGGAATACATGCTGGATTTTGTGGTTCCCTGTTGCTTTGTGTGCCAGGTAGTCTTGGAAACTGGTTGGAGCTGGGCAGATGCTTAACAAACGGCACTGAATTGTCAGAATGGAATGGCTCTCAGCAGGAAGGCCAGGTGTGTCTGCTAACACCCTGATGTGCTTCTTTCCTTTGGAGGCAAAAGGCTCCAGGCAATGTAGCTGGTGCAGCGCTCCTGTAGGCGGGCCAAAGCACAGCTCTACTGCTGTGGAGGGCGCACAAACACAGGGGCTCACCAGCTTCTCTAGCCAGGAGAGTTCCCACAGCTCCTAGATTGTTCTTGTGGTTTTCTAGCCTTCTCTAATTGGTTTCTTTTTCTCCTTTGTTGGTCAGAAGCTGTTCAATCAGCCCTCAATTGTCTCTCAGGAGTAACTGCTCTTATATATTTGTGTTTGCTCATGGAAGGGGGTAGGTTCAGCATTGTCCTGTGCTGCCACCACCTTGGACCTCTGAAAACTGCTGATATTCGACCCTCATTAATGGAGGAGGGGATTCTACCTCAAAGGCTGGGAACCAAGGGACTAGGATCCTGACTTTTCTGCCTCACATTCTAGGATCTTGGACTAATTTGATGAAAAATTTCAGCAGTTTATGGCAATTGCTGGAAATGCGCCGCTGCTTGGTGGTCCTGATTTCTATCCCATCTGGGCACATCCTGGCCTCCATCTATTTCTCAAAACCTCTTCAAAGCTCAATAGTCTATGATGCTATGGTGTAATTAACATTCTGGCAGAGGTTCAGTTCAGATTCATCACTGGTGTTAGCCCTTCAGAGATCTTTGCCTAAAACTCAAAACAGTAAAAGCACGAAAGGAACCACTATCCTTTTAGATCACTTTTACACCTAAACCTCACGTTTCTGATATCACATCCTGGTGCCAGCCCGGCCCCCTGCTTCTGCCAGGTGTTTCCTTCCTGCCCTGAAGAGGCCCGTCTGGTGAGCCTGCACAGCGGCCCCTGGCCCCTGCCTGCATCCGGGCTGTGGAAAGCCAGAGAGGAGCAGCACAGCCTTGTTGCCAACCTGCCCTCCCACACAGGCCGGGCTGACGCACAGAATCTTTATCTGCAAAGAAGCAAACTGCGTGTGTTTCTTCTGGTAGAAACAGTTGCTGGGAAATTCCACAAATACTAGACTAGAGCTGACAGAAATGAAGGCTCTGAGGGCACAGACAATGGGGAAAAATATCTGTAACAATGGTGGAAACCTCAGTTTCAGTCAGGGGGAAGGCACACCTTTGGGAAGGTGCAGTTAACAACATTTCAGGAGACCAAAGAACACAGCCTCGTGCGCTCAGAAGGGAACCCAAGTGGGTCTTGGATGTAGTGGGAAAGAGTCTGCTGTGTCAGAGCAAGCGCAGAGTCAATGCGTGGCAAACATGCACGAGGAATGGCACACGCCTGGGCAAACATACTGTCACAACACAGAAGAAAGTATGTAGCCCGGAAAAATACATGGAACCACAAAATGCCCCACAACCATCTGATGGTACAGTACAGCTCCTGAGAGTATAAAATTGATCAAAAGAGCTCATGGGCAGAATTACAAAAGAAAGGTATTTTGGTAAGTAAATGTGAAGTCAAAGTAATGGCACAATGGAAAGATTTGAGGATTTTTTTAATAGATCAGTATTTTTTAAAGATTTTATTTATCTTTAGAGGGGAAGGGAAGGAGAGAGGGAGAGAAATATCAATGTATGGTTGCCTCTCATGAGTCCCCTGCTAGGAACTGGCCTGCAACCCAGGCATGTGCTCTGACTGGGAATCGAACTGCAATCCTTTGGTTCGCAGGCCCCCACTCAATCCACTGAGCTACACCAGCCAAGGCAGATTTGAGGATTTTGATGAAAATACATTAAAAGCACAAATTTAAAGCAACTGGAAAAAATCTATCACTACAGAAAATTGACAAAAACAATCCAACACAAGGACAACTATGTCTGAAGTAGAACACTAACCAAAAGACATGATTATTTGAAAGAATTTATTATCACTGTCCTTTTATATTTTATTACAGTAGTTCAAAACCTGGGGGCTCAAATAGGTCAAAAAACAAGTTATGTCACTAGTTTCCTATCACCAGCCCTCTCTCCTGCCAAGTCAACGAATCCCACGCTGCCCTTCTCTCCTCCAGTGACTTGTTCAAATCATCCCCTAAATCTGGAAAACCCAACTTGACCTTCAACCTTCCATATCCTTCTCAATTTCAAACTTCTATAATTAGCTCACACCTGTTTTTCCACATATATTGCATTAGACTGGAACTAAGGAATAAATATTAATGTCAAATTGCCATCTTCTATTCAGCCCTGATGTTTATGCTTTTAAAAATTAGTTTCGATAATTCCTCAAAAACTCAAATGGTCCAGAGCCTAAGACTTTTTAAGATGTAAAAACATGGCCTAAATCAATGAACCTAAAATGCCATGTGAGGCAGTGAGTCATCTATGTAATGGGTGAATCTAGCCAACCACTCAGCATCCACGTGTTCAACATTCCAGACGTATTTTGGGAAAGTTGTGCTTTTGTAATATTCACATACTCGAGTACTCAAGACTATCTGTCTCCAAGTTCCAATGGCCTGAAGTAGCTTTTCTTAAACGCACACGAACAGGACCAAGTCCTTGGATGAAAGGACTGCCACCTACGGCTGTGGATAACCAGCATGGACGGCAGCAGTGTCGGCAGCGTGAGGCTTCCCATATCCTCACACTCACTGGGTATCAAACATATCACTCCAGTTGAGACAAGGCTCCTGTTAAAATTCCTATTAAACAATAGGGGGCTACACAGTCGTTTTGTCTGTAACAGCAAATATCAAGTAATTCCAGGGCAAATAATGTGGTCCTCTACTGGCTCTGCCATTTGCACAATGTGATAAAGGAGGCATTCAAAATACAATTGGAATAAGTAAACAAAGCACAAACACACACGCAAAATCTCTACAGGATTTGCATGGACCATTTATCGTACCCTTGCTCCCAGGATGATTTTTCCTATCCCATTCTCAAAAAATACAATCTTACCTCAAAGTACATCCCAGTGCTAAAGGGAAAACAGGTAATATTTCTCTCTTCCTCTCCCCAGGACTCCTGAAGAAAAGAATTTCTTACAAAAGCTTTAATATTCAGGCGTGGGTTCAAGTGGAGAGCGATATCCTTTGATTTTCCTGATAGTAGGTCAACATTGAAGCTTGTAAGAGAAAAAGAAAAACATGCAAACAGTAAAGAGTAGTGCACTTTCTGAAATTTTAACAATCAGAACTGAACTCTGATTACAACACAGAAAATGTAAGTATGCATATGCACAGAGGAACACCGAAAAATGAAACTTTCAATTCCAAGTTATCACTTCATAAATAGAAGTATGTGATTTGCAAAATAAAAATTTTAAGAAACTGAAATCAATGTAGAAGGTACAAGTCTGGTTGGGGGAAAACTGAAAGGTTAGAAAAATAAACCAAGTGACCTCTTCAGGCTGCAGGAGTGTGAGGGCCTTTTGAGAAGGGATTCTCTTCTAACATTTACATGTGTAAATGTAAATGTTAGAAGAGAATGCCCTTGGAAGTCACTTCTTTCTATGAAGCACCTCTAATTCCACGCTTTCAGAAGTCAGACCATCTCTGGAGATGTATTTTAAAGCAGAAATGTTATAAATCACATGACAAGAGGAGCCCTAACAAAAGTTACGGGAACTCACAGGGCTGCCCTGAAGTTCTACATGGCAAGAAGGGACCTCGTGGGCAAAAATGCCACTCTTCGTCTTGGCTCATAAAGCCTGGGTCACAACATTAGAACTTCGTCCTGGTTCTGCCACCAAGTAGTTATTAGCAGTCTGACTTCCTTTTGCATTAATATTCTCCCCTTTCAGATGATGATTATGACGCTGGCCCTACTCTATGACGCTGGCCCTACACAGGCAAGAATTCACAGTTACTGTGAACTCAGTGACACCAACCTTTTGGCTTTTGCATTCACTTCTCCTTTAATGACGACAGTCCGCCCGGGGCCCATGGAGCAGTTCAATCTTGCCACGAATGGCAGAGTCTGAAAAGAAAGCAAAGCTGGCCCTCGGAAGCATGCAGAATGAGACCTTGTGGGAAAGCTGTCCAAACACGTGACTCTGAACCCCATGAAGGGACAGTTTGTGTCTGCCTTGGTCCGAGATGGGTCCCCAGGAGTAAAAACTGTGCCTGGCTCACAGCAAGCAGTGAAATGAGTGGATGTGGAGTGGGACCTCATACCCTTCACGTGAGTGAAACTCACTCTAGAAAGACCTGTGATTGGGGGCTGAAGTGCTGTTCCTACTCTGCCTGAAGGGAAGGAGTTAGGAAAATACACATTCGTGGCTCTTACACAAAGCCCAGACAACTGATAACTGTCCAGGGACAGGAAGAAAATGAGAGGCAGTGCTGTGCGCTTCTACTGAGGGTAGAGGTGAAATTTACCAGCAAATTAAACTTGTCATATAGAATTAAGAAAATTTGGGGCTCCGCAAACCTTTGACAAAGAGTTGATAGGTAGTATTTTGGTGCAAGTCAAAGTGAGATTGGCAGTCGAATCTCTGCTCTTGGTGCAGACAGTTCTGGGTACGATTTTACCAGTGTCTCCTCTATTACTAGGCTGCGGGGAAACAGTTCTGCAGTAAGGCACAGAAGGAATGAAGCTGTCTTCCAACATTTAAACCATTCACTTCCTGGGCCAGTTTATAAAATGTTCTACATATTATAATGCACGTAAAAATACTTACAAATTGTGACACACCAGCATTTTGTGCCTGTTAGAAGAGAAAGACAGATTGAGGGTGTCTGAAAGGGAAGAGTTGTATGTTATAACTGGACTTACTGGCTGTACTGAGCCAGGCCACAGCTGGGGAGTCTGCGCCTGCTCTGCCCTGGCGGTGACCGGGGCACCAGAGCCCCACGATGGCACCGTGAGGAGTCGCTGAGGGCTACTCGGGCTGCAAGTGCGGTCTGAGCCCCATCTCCCCCACTGTACGCTAATCATTTTTCAGAGGAGCTTCAAACACATTTTACTTGCTCTTTCCAGGGTGCTTCCCAAATGCTGAGATTATATTCTTATGAGGTACAATGTGCTGCACTCAGTAAGGCCTCACCTGTTCCATTTACAGCGGCAAAAACTCAATGTTTCCGCTGGACTGTTTCCCAAAGGGGAGGAGAGACTGTGGAGGCTCCCTTCCCAATGCGCTGACGGGGTTCAGCACCTGGCATCAGTGCTACCTCCCCTGGGGAGAGCTCTTTCTGCACCGACTGGGAGGCGCTGGGCAGGCACGCTGCAGCTTAAGTACCAGAAAACCCTATGGTGCCTGGCAGCGCCGAAGTGGCCTCAATTTTCAAATGCTTACTTACAGCCTACTACTCTTAAAACTAATTTCTCATACCAAAAACGTAATTATAAAAAACTCGGCCTGCCTGCCACCTGAGTGATATGGCAACTAAATGAACATTTTTAAACTGGTGGTTCATAAAAAGACCAAATATTTACATTTTCTGGACGTATCTCTGTCAGTTCCAGGGTTGGTGCTGGGCTACTTCTTGAATCCTGAGGAAAAGATGAGATTAATTTTAACATCCATCAGAATTCCCTTAGCCCTGGCTGGTGTAGCTCAGTGGACTGAGCGCAGGCCTGTGAACCAAAGTGTCGCCGGTTCGATTCCTAGTCAGGGCACATGCCTGGGTTCCAGGCCAGGACCCCAGAATTCCCAATATAACCTGCTTCACATACCAAAAAGAATGATAAATGGTGCTAAACATGAAAGTATGCTTGAAAATCATGATCCAAAATAGCACTTACCATATTTCATTAAAGGGACTAGGAACTAACATCAAGAAGAATGTGAGCAAATACGAACAGCTCTTGAGAGTGCAAACTATTTTAATCTTTTTGGAGGGCAAGTCAGTGGTATCAATCACAAGTTAAAATGCAGTCACCCCCTGGCTCAGACATTCCACCTCTAGGTGCTCCTGTGTCAAGGACACAACCCCCACCTGGCTAAGGGTTGTTGTTGTTGTTCTGTTTGGGATTCTTTTAAGTATATCTTACTGATTACGCTATTACAATTGTCCCATTTCTTCTCCCCTCTATCCGCCCCCCACTTTGCATACCCTTGCCACCAGATTTCCTCCTCCCATCCCCCATTAGTTCATGTCCATGGGTCATACACATCAGTTCTTAGGTTTCTCTACTTCCTATACTATTCTTAACCTCCCCTTGTCTATTTTGTACCTACCATTTATGCTTCTCATTCCCTGTACCTTTTCCTCCATTCTCTCCCCTCCCACTCCCTGCTGATAACCCTCCATGTGATCTCCATTTCTGTGATTCTGTTCTTCTTCTAGTTGTTTGCTTAGTTTGGTTTTGTTTGTTTTAGGTTCCGTTGATAGTTGTGAGTTTGTTGTCATTGTACTATTCATATTTTTTATCATCTTTTTTCCTTAGATAAGTCCCTTTAACATTTCATATAATAAGGGCTTGGTGATGATTAACTCCCTTAACTTGACCTTCTCTAGGAAGCACTTTATCTGCCCTTCCATTCTAAATGCTAGCTTTGCTGGAGAGAGTAATCTTAGATATAGGTCCTTGCCTTTCATGACTTGGAATACTTCTTTCCAGCCCCTTCTTACCTATAAGGTTTCTTTTGAGAAATCAGTTGAAAGTCTAATGGGAACTCCTTTGTTGGTAACTGTCTCCTTTTCTCTTGCTACTTTTAAGACTCTCTCCTTCTCTTTAATCTTGGGTAATTTAATTATTATGTGGCTTGGTGTGTTCATCCTTGGGTCCAATTTCTTTGGGACTTTCTGAGCTTCCTAGACTTCCTAAAAGTCTATTTCTTATAGCATATTAGGAAAGTTCTTCTTCATTATTTTTTCAAATAAGTTTTCCATTTCTTGCTCTTCCTCTTTTCCTTCTGTCACATCTGTGATTTGGATGTGGGAACATTTAAAGTTATCCCAGAGGTTCCTAAGCCTCTCCTCATATTTTTGAATTCTTGTTTCTTTATTCTGTCCCTGTTGAATGTTTATTCCTTCCTTCTGCTCCAAATCGTTGATTTGAGTCCTGGTTTCCCACCCTTTATTGTTGGTTACCTGTAAATTTTTCTCTATTTCACTTTACTTTGCATAGCCTTCCCTTCTTCCTCTATTCTGTGTCCATACTCAATCATTCCTGTGAGCATCCTGATTACCTGTGTTTTGAACTTTGTATTGGATAGGTTGTCTATCTCTTCATTGCTTAGTTCTCTTTCTGGCTGGACTTTTGATCTGTTCTTTCATTTGGGCCCCGTTTCTTTGTCTCAGCACACCTGTTACATAGCAAGGGGCAGAGCCTTAGGTACTTGCCAGGGCAGAGCAACCCACTTTGCTGCACTGTGGTGCTATATGTGGGGGAAGGGTCATAGAGGGCACAATGCCACTTGCTCAGCTCTCGCCCCACTTTCAGTCACTTCCCCTGCTACCCACAAGCAAACTGAGCCCTTCTGGTGTTGATTCCCGGTGGGTGGGGCTAGTGTACGTTCTAGGACCCCGTGGGTCTCTCCAACAAACTCCCCTCTGAGACTGGCAGTTTTTCCTGCCACCACAACCCCCACAATTTTTAGAGCAAGAGGTTGTGAGGCTTTAGTTTCCCACACTGAAACCCTGGGTTGCATGGTCTGTCTCACTCCCCAATTGTTCCACCAGCTTATTAGCACATGAACATACGTTCGCCCAGTCCACCAGCTGCCACTTTGCCTGCCCAGTCCACCACCTTGCCACACATCCTCTCTCTCCTGACTGCCCATCTCTGCCCCTGCTACCAGTCTGGATGAATGTTTTTTCCTAACTGCTCAGTTGTTGAACTTCCATACAGTTTGATTTTCTGGCAGTTCTGGCTGTTTTTTGCTTTTTAATTTGGTGTTGTCCATCTTTTGGCTGTGCAAGAAAGCAAAGTGTATCTACCTATACCTCCATCTTGGCCAGAAGTCTGTTTGGGATTTTTTTGCTAGAACCATATTAGACTTGAGATTCTACTGACAATACAGCCCTGGTCAATAAATAGCATCAGGCAGTCCGGATGCTGTTTATTGATGCATGAGGATGCTGAACTTGCCACCTCCCATAAGCAAACTCAAATATACACGTATATGGAGAGCAGTGATTCCTGTGAGACAACTGGGGGCAGAACAAACAGCTTCTGAACAGAAAAGAGAAAGGGACAGTGAGTAGTGAGGCTGGGAGACAACAGTGCCCTCCACAAGCTGCAGGGACTCTGGTCTAGAGGAGCCCATGAGTCCACTGTTTATGTCCCCTCCACAGTGACCACGCAACAGCTATATTCGAATGCTTTGGCCAACCTACAGGAGAACTGCAGCAAGTTCCCATCTACTAGGCCCCAAGCCTTAACCCCAAACAAAAGGAGCAAGCGGGCATGGCAGGGTGTCACACACATACCTGGCCTTCCTGCTGAGAACCACTCCAACCCAGCCAGGTGCCGATAAGCACCTAAATGGCACAAACCAGCTTCTAAAACTACCTGGCACACAAAGGCCACAGAGAAGACCTTCACTGCTATAGAAGACCACGTTCTGTACAACAAACAGATTGCAGAGAGAGGCATCTGGGGAGCCGTGAGAACTCTCTGGGACTATGTGAAGTCTCCAGGGTCAGAGGTGCCCCAGAGTGCCACTGTGTCTGTCCCCTTCCACCTCCACAGGATGGAGAGGGGCCTATCCAGGTGCTCCACCTGCAAAATCACTGCAGCTCTTTCCTAGACATGTCACCTGAGCCCCAACCTCCCTCAATAAAGGGTTGGGCGAGCAGGACCAAAGGGCATAACAGTACTCTCCTGGCCTCACTGCCTGGAGCCACTCCTGCTCCAAAGATCAGTGCCCTGACACACGGGACAGCCACCCAGCTCTGACCTGCCCAACCACCCAGGACACGCAGCCTACGTGGAGGCCACATCTACACGAGGCTGCTCTTTCAAGACTGGAAGAGGGAGGTATTTTGTCTAACTCATATAAACACGTGTGGAAAGTCAAACAAAATGAAAAGACAGAAGAATACCTCTCATATGAAGGAATAAGAAAAACCTCCAGAAAAACATCCTAAGGATATTTTCAAAGAAATAGTCATAAGAATTATCACCAGTCTTGGGAGAGGAATAGAGGGACTAAGGGAGAACTTCAACAAAGACTTAGAAACTATAATAAAGAACCAGGCATACCTGAAGAGTACAATAACTAAAATTAAAAAAAAAATTAGAAGGAACCAACAGTAGATCAGTTAATGGAGAGGAATGGATCAGCAACCTGGAAGGCAGACTAGTGGAAATCAATCGGGACAACAAAAAGAAAAAAGAATCTAAAAAAATAAGGATAGTTTAAGAGGCTTCTGGGATAACATCAACTGTTCAATCATTTGCATTGTAGGGGGGCTTCTGGAAAAAGATGGACGAGTGGACAGCAGAGAAACTTTATTTAGAGAAATAACGGCTGAACACCTGACTCACTAGATAAGGGAGCAGACATCCAGGTCCAGGAAGCACAGAAAGTTCCAAACATGGTGAACCCAAAGAGACCCACACCAAGACAGGTTATAGTTAAAATGGCAAAGGTCAAAGACAAAGACACAGCCCTGGCTGGTGTGGCTCAGTGGATTGAGTGTGGGCCTGCGAACCAAACAACCGCGGTTCGATTCCCAGTCAGGGCACATGCCTGGGTTGCAGGCCAGTTCCCAGCAGGGGACGCACGAGAGGCAACCATACATTGATATTTCTCTCCCTCTCTCCTTCCCTTCCCCTCTAAAGATAAATAAATAAAATCTTTTAAGTAAAAAAAAAAGATAAAGACACAATCTTGAAGGAAGCAAGAGGTAAACAATGAGTTCCATATAAAAGAAACCCCTAAGAGCTGATGCTAAGAGCTGATTTCTCAGCAGCAACTTTACAGACCAGAAGGGAGTGGCTGGACATCTTTAAACTGCTGAAAGAAAGGCACCTACAGCCTTTACCCAGTGAGGTTAACATTCAGGGCTGAAGGAGCAACAAAGAGCTTCCAGGACAAGCAAAAACTAAAGGACTTCATCCCCATTAAATCAGCTTTAGAAGAAATGTGTCTTCTTTTAAGCAAAAAAGAAAATGCCATAATCAGAAATGAGAAAAAAATCTCGCAGGTAAAGCCAATTATTTAATAAATAGAATGAATTAAGACATTTAAAGAGCTACTGTGAAGGTCAAGAGAAAAAAGTATCAAACTCAACTCAAACAACAACTAGGAGGAGATACACAACACAGAAAGATCTAAGACATGACATTACTAACATAATGTGTGGGCAGAGTAAAAAGATGGTCCTTACAGAATACATTAGAACATAAATGCCTATCAGATTAAAGCAGACTGCTGTAGGTATAGAATGACACACATAAACCTCATGGTAAACAAAAATGAAAACCTACAAAAGATACAAAAGAATTAAGAGAAAAGAACCAAACAAAACACTAAAGAAAAACAGCAAACCACAAAAGAAGAGACTAAGAAGGGGGAAAAAAAGAGGATAACTATAGAAACAACCATGAAACAATAAACAAAATGGCAAAAAGTAATTAACAATAATTAGTTGACATATAAATGTACTAAATGCTCCAATCAGAAGTCAAAGGGTGGTTGAATGGATTTAAAAACATGACCCATCTATAACGCCACTTACAAGAGACTCACTTTAAATTGAAAGACACACACAGGCTGAAAGTGATGGGATGGAAAAAGATATTCCAAGCAAAAAAACCCAAACAATCCAATCAAAAAATGAGTAGAAGACCTGAATAGATATTTCTCCAAAGAGGACATACAGAGGACCAGACATGTGAAAAGATGCTCAACATCACTAATCTTCAGGGAAATGCAAATTAAAACCACAATGAGATACCACCTCACACCTGTCAGAATGGCCATCATCAATAAATCCACAAATGCAAGTGCTGTCGAGGATGTGGAGAAAAGAGAACCCTGGTGTACTGTTGGTGGGATTATAAATTTGTCAGCCACCATGGAAAATAGCATGTAGAGTCTTCAAAAATTAAACATAAAGCTACCACATGCCCCAGTAATTCCAGTTCTGGGTATTTATCTGAGGAAACCCAAAACCCTAATTCAAAGAGTGATACTCACCCCAAATGTTCACTGCAGCATTAATTACAATAGCAATGATGAAGAAGCAACCTAGGTGTCTACAGACAGATGAATGGACGAAGAAAAGATAGTACACATATACAATGCAGCATTATTCAGACATAAAATAGAATGGAATCTCACCCTTTGTGACAATATGAATGGATCTAGAGGGCATTATGCTGAGTGAAGTAAGTCAGACAAAGACATATATTGTATGATTTCAGTTACATGTGTAATCTAAAAATCAAACAAATGAATAAACACTACACAACTGAAATAGACCCATAGAGAGAGCAAGCTGATAGTTGCCAAAGGGGAGGTGGGTAGGTGCATGGGAATAAAAAATAAAATAATGTTTACAAGTAGTAAAGAAAGCAAGGTTGGGTTACAGAACTAAAAACTATTTTTAAAAATAGGCCTCACAGAGAAGCAGGTCAATTTCCCAAATGACATTCACACAAAGTAAGTTCACAGAAAAAACCAGAATACTAATAGTCTGAAAGATTTACTTTCAAGAAGTGATGCACTAATGAAGGAGATATTTACTTTATCTTACGAGATGTTAGGTAAAGATACTTCCTCCCATTTCATCAGAAAACATCATTGAAGAAGGCCTGACCCTACGGAAGGATGGAAGTGCACTCACCGAGCTGAAGCTGAAGCCAACTGAGTGAATGTTCACTGTGCCATAAATGCCCAGAGTGTCTATTTTCTCTGGGCTAATCCTGTGGGCATAGAGCAGTGTATGTTTTCCATTTACAGCCACCTAGATGGACACAGAAAACAGCCCCCCCCAGAAAAGAGTTAATAAATTTCATTCATTTACCGCAACTGCAATGTTTACTTGGGTTTCATTTTATCCCTTTTCCCACAGGGCTCCACTTTACGAGTCTGACGAGATGGGGACCGAAAACATCGCGAACCAGCAGCGTTTATCTTATTTTCACTTCCTCACCTCCAGACCAATCATGCATGCATGCACACGTGTGCATGTGCATACGTGCATCTGGCCAGAAATAGGAGACATCCTGGGGTTCAGAGGCTCCTGATACCCTGGTGGACTGTGAGCCCAGGAGAGACCTGCTCTGCAAGCTTACTGCACCCCCGATGGACCACCATGTGGGCAGGCGCTCAGCCTGTATTTGCTGCACTTGCTGAGTGAATGAATGGGCAAGTCCCCCAACTTCTCTGAGACTGCTGTTTGTGAGCAGGAAAACGCTGTCACTCAAAGGGCTGCTGTTGTGAGGAGATGAGGCCACTGCTCAGTCCCAGCGCAGCCTGACACAGAGCAGGTGCCCAGCACACGCAGTTCCCTTCCCTCCCTCCCAAACACCAGGCACTGTGCTGCAGTATGTCAGGAAAACACAGGCAGAACACAGCACGGTCTTGACATTACAGGAGCTCAGAATGACAGGGGCAGACAAAACAAACACAGGAAAAAATACTCAAAGGCCAGAGAGGAAAGAGGTGATGTTCAGGGGGTTAAGGGGTGATGTTCTGGTGGGAGCAGGATCCTGGAGGCCAGGAAGGACCTGCACCAGGGAAGGGAGCATCTTCTCTTGGAGAGCAAGCAGGAGAAGAGCCACTGGGGCTGAATTCTACATCACACACGTGAAATGTGAATACACACAGGATTTCAGAGATCTCTGGGTCTAAAATGTCAAGATCGTAAAGAGCCCTCTTGTGATAGGACCTAACCTCCCACTGGACTCTGACTTCTACACTCAGGTTCCCCACCTGTCCATTAGTCCAGATCCCCCAAACTTTGGGGTCACGGTGGTTCTAATTTACTACCTCCTATTAGTATGGTGCTGTGCCAATTCAGAACTGAGCTCGGCCCTGCTAGGAGAAATAGCACCCATCTTACCTGCAGGGACCTGCCCAGCCCCTATGTTAGAGAAAAATTAAAAAGCCAAACTCTCTCTGGACGGAAGAAACGTGAGGAGTTCTCACTGCTGTGAACAAGCTTCCTGCACACCGACTCCCATCAATGTGGATTCAACTTGCAGTCTCCAAAGCCTACCTGGAACTTGTCTTTCAGCACCATAATCACAATTTCAAAAGACTTTTCTTTCATGAAAGGCATGTCATAGGTGATCTCTTCCCGCCCCCACTTTTCGTTTTTCAGAGTATTGCAAACAATGCAGTTGGCCCTTTTGAAACGTGGATTGAAGTGAAAGACCACATCGGCTCGGGGTTTCACACTGCTGCCACTCTGGAAGTCCACCTGGAACCTGTGTGAGGAAAGAAACACGCCACACCTTGAGGACTCCACAAGGAAGGCCACAGGGAGGGCCCAGAAGCATGAAAACCCAGGCTGAGCAACGTATGGCTGACCCTCTGCTCTTTCATCCTCGTGGCCTGAATACCCTTCCTTTGCTTCCTCCCCAAGAACAGGCCCCTGAGGGGCCCATCTGTGCAGAAGGAGCCCTTGCAGGCAGGCATGTTCACGGGGTAAAGCTCTGCTGAGGTGGAAGCTAAGTGTTTAAGGCAACTACTGGAAGTTGTGATAAGTCAGGTGGCCTCTGCCTTTTGTCTACCTCCTGCCCCTGTCCCCACCCCCAAATAGCACATGCGCCCACCCAGCTGCCGTTGTAGTGCCAAGAATCAAGGAAAGAGGACCTCACCCTGGGATAGCAGAGTGGATAGCCAGAAGTGACCTGCTTCTCTAAGACTTGATGGAGTTACCTTAAAACACCTGCACTGTCTCCTTTAGACTTGACTTTCCTATCTCGTTTGAACCACTGCTGTGTGGGCAGCGGCCACGCTGACCCGAGCCCAACTCTAACAGTATGGCCTTGTGCACAGTTAGTAGCCAGGGACGCACACCGCCTTAAGAGGTGCTGTGCAAGCCCTGGCCAGGTGGCTCAGCTGGCTGTAGCACAGTCCCACACACCAAAAGGTTGTGGGTTCAACCCCCAGTCAGGACATATGCATAGGCTGCAAGTTCAACCACAGGTTGAGGCATGTATGGGAGGCAACCGATCAATGTTTCTCTCTCACATCGCTGTCTGCCTGCCTGTCTGTATCCTCCTCCCTCCCTCTCTCAAATCAATAAACAAATCATCAGGTGAGGATTAGAGAAAGGGAGAGAAATGCTGTGGGACTGTGACCCTATAACTGGACTTTGTCCCTGTCATCTGATCACAGTTCCCCCCACTAATGTACGAGGCCTATCCAAAAAAAGTCCAGCCATTCTTAATGTAACAAGAATGGTTTGCACAACATCGACGTAACCTGACAGCCAGGGAGAGTGGACTGGAATGCACATGTGTGAACAATGACTTCACTGTACTAGTCAGTGGGGGGAGGAGACACTGTAGAGTGAGTGTGTCTACTGTGTCCGTCACATTCAAAATGACTGAGCAGGTACAGCAATGAATCTGCATCCGATTTTGTGTTAACTTTGAACATTCCTCCGTAGAAACTATTTGGATGATCCAGAAAGCCACAGCTACGGGCAACCAGTGATTGGCAGCTGTATCATGACAACATGCCTGCTCATGTGTCACATCTCGTGCAGAGTTTTTTGACAAAACATCAAATCACCCAGGTGACTCAGCCCCTGACAGCCCAGATTTGGCACCCTGAGACTTCTGGCTTTTCCCAAAACTAAAATCGCCTTTAAAAGGGAAGAGATTTAACACTGTCAATGAGATTCAGGAAAATATGACGGGACAGCTGATAGTGATTGGGAGAACCGTATGAGGCCCCAAGGATACCTATGTTGAAGGGGACTGAGGTGCCATTGTCCTATGTACAACGTTTCTTGTATCTTCTTCACTAAATGTCTCTATTTTTCATATTACATGGCTGGACACCTTCTAGACAGGCCTTTGTAGATCCAATTCTTTACAATGAGATCAGACTTATAACAATAAAATAAAAACCCAAATAACCTCTACTTCAGTCACTCATTCCAATCTCAGCACCTGGGCCATGAAGCTGACGAAAGCAAAATCAGGCCTCAAATACCATGTTAGTTTTCGTTATTGTCCCGCAGCCACAAAGAGACAGTTTGTTTCTGTCCCTTCTCGTCCAGTACAATAATTTTACCTGTCTGAATCAGCAGGAACGTGCCCACGAATTACAATCAAAGTTCCAGGCTCCAACTGCTCAGATATAGTCCCAACATAGGGGATTACCTAGAAAAAATAAATTTAACAAATATACTTTTACATAAAATTGAAAGACTGTATGTTTAAGCACTGCATTTTTATCACATAGAAATCTGCTCAATTAGCATTTTCCAAGCTGTGTTCACTATTCATACAGCTATACAATATCTGCAAACTGAGTTATTTGGGAAAAGACAAAAGATTAATACCATTCACAATATTTTGTACTTGGCTAGGAATTTTGTGAAATAAAACTTCCACTTAACAGAATAATCCTGATAATAGAAAAAACAATTCGTGGCAGCGTCATCTCTCCCCACCCGAGTGTTCCTCACAGCAGCAAGATCAAGGCTGTACCCGGCCCCACGCCAGCACCAATGGGGTGAGGACATGCACTGCCCGGGGAGGGCCCGGCCACACCGGGCTTCCTGACTGCAACCCACACCACACTGCATCTGAGAGATGAGCTCCGGGTGCCTGTGGTCCCCTCATGGCACAGTGTCCACTGACCCTCGCCTGGTCCATCTGCAGGCTTGGGCTCCAACAGGCATTCCCACACAGCATTTGGGTTTCAACCTGTCCCCTCACCAGCTGGAACCCAGCCTTTGTACCTGGGACCTGACACACTCAGACCTTGTCACTCCCCTTCCCCTAAGGTGACTACACTGGCTGGGGACCTGTGCTACATGGCTGCTTCTCCTCACAACCTCCCCTCTTCCAGTTGGGAGCACCTTGCCAGACACCAGCATGCTGCATGCCAGGCTCCCAAATGTCATATATGCTGCAACTTATCCCAGGTAGTAGTAGTTGTCAAGATATAAATAAAACACGAGGGGCTTGTTGTCAATGCATGGCTCTCGGCTCAAGGACATTCCTCTGCAGATCCGGTCTCAGGTTCCCCGGGCCCCCTGAGTGAGCCCCCCTGAGGGCCCGGCACAACACTGCATGCTGTCTGTGGCCCGCACCGCTGTGCTGCTCCGGGTCATCACCTTCACATCCCCGGGACAGAGGTCCAGAGATGATCAACCATCACATGGCGAATGAATGAGCTCTTGCCGCCTGGAAAGGGCTGTGGCCGGCCTCTCGCAAGCAGATGAGCTGCGATGAAGCGGCCGCTGCACAGCAAGTGTTGCTGCCTTCAGCAACAAGAATCCCCCAAACCAGTTACCATCTGGTCTCATAATGGCTGAGTGACACCAGAAATCTCTCACTGCTCAATGGATGCACAGAGTGTGGCTGCAGACACACAGCAGAGTGGTCAGGTTTAATGTGGAAGGAGTCACACCTCCACGCTGATCTTTTGGACCACAGCCAATGACAAGATTAGGTGGCAGCATCTTCAATATTGTAAATCAATCTTCATAAAATGAGAATCTCTGTAACTTCAATTTTAATGTATGTTCTAATTACATGTATGCAGAGCATTCAACAACACACAAATATTAGTGATACAAGTATCAGTAAGAAATTAGCCTACAAAATTATACACATTATAATCTTAAATATCTTAAGTTATAATAAACATTAAAAAGAAAACACTGTAAAGAAATAAACCAGAGACTTCCGCCAAGATGGAGACGTAGGTGGAGGAACCACCTTGCCTCTGTGCACAACCAAATCTAAGAACAACTATTTTTAACAACAATCACAACCAAGCCACACGGAAAATCGACAATACGGAGTCCAAAGGACAACTAAATGCTCAGCTAAACCGGTAAGAGAAGCGAAACCAGCAGCGGAGCAGGTTAGCAAGAAAAAATCCCCGGGTGGTGCGCGGTGCAGCGAGCAGCCGAAGGCGCTGACGCGAGCTAGCTATGGGAGCGCACAGGGAAGAGGCGCGGTGGGCTGCCTCGGTCGGTCGGTCACGCGCATCTGCATGCGGAGAAACCAGTGAGAAGGGAAGCCTGCGCGGGGCAGCAGGCTCGCACAATTCCGATCAGATAAACAAGCCTGTGGCGAGTGGTGTGACGGGACAGGCTGGGCTAGCGGAGAGGACCGCCATTGCTCCCTCTCTGACCACGCCCCCACACACAGCGTCACAAACCAGCGACCTGGGTCGCCCTGTCCTGGTAAACAACTAAGGCTTCGCTCCGCTTACTTAACAGCACGAATAGACCAAAAATGGCTCTAGTACAACTCAGAGCCCCAGAACCGATAGATCTAAGCGATGAAGAAATAGCCAGTCTTTCAGATGCACAATTCAAAACACTGGTTATCAGGATCCTTACAGAACTGGTTGATTTTAGTCACAAATTAGAGAAAAATATGGAAGCTAAACTAATTGAAATGAATGGTAATACAAAGGAAATCAATGGTAATGGAAAGAAAATTGGGACTCAAATCAAGGGAGTGGACCACAAGGAAGAAAAAAATGATCAAACAGAAAAGAATGAAGAAAAAAGAATTCAGAAAAATGAGGAGAAGCTTAGGAACCTCCAGGACATCTTTAAACGTTCCAACATCCGAATTATAGGGGTACCAGAAGGGGGAAAGGCACAGCCACCAGTGGAAAACTTATTTGAACAAATAATAAAGGAAAATTTCCCCAATCTGGCAAAGGGAAATAGACTTCCAGGAAATCCAGGAAGCTCACAGAGTCCCAAAGAAGTTGGACACAAGAAGGAACACACCAAGGCACATCATCATTACATTAGCCAAGATGAAAATGAAGGAGAGAATCCTAGAAGCAGCAAGAGATAAGGGGACAGTCACCTACAAAGGAGTTCCCATTAGACTGTCAGTGGATTTCTCAAAAGAGACCTTACAGGCAAGAAGGGGCTGGAAAGAGGTATTCCAAGTCATGAAAACCAAAGACCTCCAACCAAGATTGCTCTGCCCAGCAAAGTTTTCATTTAGAATGGAAGGACAGATAAAGTGCTTCTCAGATAAGATCAAATTCAAGGAGTTCATCATCACCAAGCCCTTATTATATGAAATGTTAAAGGGACTTACCTAAGAAAAAGAAGATAAAGAAACATGAACAGTGAAAGGACAGCAAACTCACAGTTAGTAACAACCACACCTAAAGCAAAAGCAAACTAAGAGGATAGCTAGATCAGGAGCAGAACCATAGAAATGAAGATTCATGGAGGGTTAGCAACAGGGGAGTGGGAGGAGGAGAAGGGGGGAGAAGGTACAGAAAATAAGTAGCATAGACAGTAGATAGAAAATAGAGGGGGGGGAGGGTAAGAATAGTAGGGGAAATACAGAATCTAAAGAATTTGAGACACGTGTTCATGAACTAAAGGGGGAAATGGTGGGGGAGGGGTATGCAGGGTGGAGGGGAATGGAGGGGGGAATAGAGCAAATGTAATGGCATAATCAATAAAAAAAATAATAAATAAATAAATAAATAAATAAAAATTAAAAAAAAAGAAATAAACCAGAAATGATTTCTATAATAAACATTTATATTTTTATGACCATGGATGTTTTTATCATGCATTTAATTTTAGGGCTGGAAAGAGCTTTTTGAGACCGTCACTGCTAATAAGTTGTTCACAACTATTAGTAAATTGTTCTAGTCTGAGAAACAGCCGTGTTGAAAACTTGGGCCATTTTCTGTTTCAGTTGTCTGGGTTAATGGTTTCTGCTTGGTAAAGTGCCCTGAATTACATCAGTAAGACTCAGCTTTCTGGGACCACAGACAGGAGTGAGTCAAAACGCCCTACAGCCCACTCACTTAACTCACAGCTGTCCGCTCCTGTGAAAAGGGAGAAGGAACTGTTTTCTAGGTAACTGCAAACTTTCGTGCTTTCGGTTTCACAAGGAATTACTTTGTGTAAAAAAATTAAGGGAGATACGATCGCACTGGAGACAGTACCATAAGCTTAAGCCCTTGTTAGGTTTGGTGTCCTCTGCCAAAACTTCCCACCCTGTTCAATATCCTAATTGATTAACTTACAATATCGAAGTTATCTGTGGCCTCTTTTTTCCCCTGGTCTTTCAAACACTAGAAGGGGAACAAGTTACACATGGTAGGAGAGCTGACACGCAATACAGGGACTCGGTGCAGTGAATGTTTAACAGTAAGTGAAATTTAAAGACATCCAAACATTATTTTTGCCATTCAGGACAATTTCTCTACCTACCCTTTTCTACTTGGGAGAACTGACTACAACACACAGAAACTTAAAGGGCCCGAAAATGTTTACTTTGTAAACTTGTTACCATGAAGTAACCTCTGAAGTAACCTCGGAACAGAGCAAAGTCATCTGGAAGCCCAGAGGACACTTCCTGCTCTAAAGCAGCGTGACCTCCGGCCCCCCTTCATCAGTTTAGGGTGCTAACCCCAGAAATCACAGGAATTGTCAAGACATACAGTGTCCAGATATGCAGGTGTTTTAACCTAGAAAATGATTTTCCAAACACCATTACAATTAGGCATCTTTGTACATGAAGGCCAGCACTGACCAGTATGACCTGATGGCCCACGCCTCCTGACTCCAGTCAAGGTTACACTGCAGTCATCCTTGGCAGGCAGCCTATCTTTTTTTAAATCTCTGCAGAAGCCAGTCTATAACTTTGAGATGCTTTTAACCCTAAGACACACAAAATCAATTTAAGTATCTCTGACTTCAAATTCGGGAAGTCTTCTCTTTGAAATCTAGTACTACCGAAGGCTATGTCCTCTAAAGCTGAGTTTGCTTAATATGGTGGTCATACCTTATTCTTGCACACTGACGTTGAAACTTGGGAGGAAAAGAGTTATAGCTACAAAATAAGTAACAAAAAAACTGAACCCACTTACACTGAGACTGGTTTAGGACCCTTACCCTCCCTATTGCCCAAGAGTCTCTTGGAGGAGCAGAGACTATTTACAAAAAAAGCAGCAACTCTACCTGAGACCTAAAATTCAGGATTCAGCGCCAGATACATGGAAACTGCATCCCTACTTAAAACTAAAATTCATCACTTCTTGGGGGAACACTGACACTTTGAGCAATTATGGTCATTCAGGGGTTCCTGGACCAGCCTCAGGCTGGGACAAGACCCTCAATTTTTTCATTCATCTCACCACTAGCTTTTGACATTTCTCTGCTCAAGGGACAAACAGCATTTGAAAGGCAGAAGGGTTAAAAACTGAGACATTAACTTCTCATAAACAGGTCTAATTGAAAAACAAAATTTAAAGCGTGTAGAGTAAGAAGTCCATTTTCTTTTTAAAGTTACGTCTTATGGTTAACCTTCCTGCCACCACCAACACTGGCATGCCCCCCACTGTCCTCTTGGGTCCCCATTCACGACACGCTCGTTCTCACCACCTTTGTGGCAATGGGACCTGGCCCCCCAATGGACAGCTCCAAGGGCTGCATCTGTTGTCACAGTCCCTGAGGGACTGTGTGACCTGTTCAATGAATTTCATTCTTGACCCCTCCCCCAACAACAGATCATTACTATCCAATTGGATTTGCTCTCAATCCTGCAAGGTAGAAAGTGACTTCAGAGAAACCAGTTACCGGGTTACTGACGACACTCTGCAAGTTGTTTAAGGACAACATCCTTCTTTTCCACTGTGCTGCTGACAGGGGTCTCTCTGCTGTCACTGATCTCAGACTTTAAGCAAGTTTCATTTAAAGGCTTCCCAGACTGAAACTGAGGCAGCTGCCCTGTGTGAAATCAAAACAAAGGAAAAGAAAATGAGTCAGTTTTCTTCATATCATTACTACTCTTAAATTTAAATGATAAATTATCTTACTGACATTTACCAAATAACAAGATGCTATTGCAATCAAAGATGTGACCCCAATTCTTACCTACTATGCTTATAGACTAGTGTTGCATTATTAATGCAGGAAATGTTGGTTTAAAATGACATCAGTTGAAAGTTTGTAACATGAAATGTGTTATTAAAAATACTAAAATAAAATAGTAGCAAATACCCCTGTACAAATTTTCTCATCTGTAAAATGAGAATAGCACTCACCTCACAGGTCTGTTCTGAGAATTAAATGAATTAATGAAACATGGGACAGCAAGTGCTTTATAAGTTTTAGTTAATATGATTAACAGAAAGGATTGAATCTCCTCCCCCGAATTTAAACAAGTCAAAAGGGGAAAAAATCCAGCCTTGAATATTAAATATGAGTTTTTCCTGTGGCAAAAAGAAATAAAAGATGTGTGTGGTGGAGGAGCATCAACCACAGTTTTAAAGACAAACCTCTAGTTATATATAAACCACGGGATGTAACAGCAAAGGGAAACACAGTCAATAAGATCGCAATAACCAATGCACAGACCTACCGCGGTGCTCACTTCGTAAGGTAAGTAGGTGGGGTCTCTGTGTCGCACACCTGAAACTAACCTGATGCCGTATGTCAAATATAATGTTAAAAAAAAGAACCCGTCGGTACGGCTAACAGCGCCAGGAGGGACGACGACCTAACAACAGAAGAGAAACGAAACTGCGGCCTTCCACCTGACTTCCGCCTGACTTCCGCCCGCTGAAGCTACGCTGCACAGAGCATGCGCACACGCAGCCAGCACTGGGTCCCGGGAAAGAAAACTGCAATCCTCCCGGTTTACCACAGGCTTGTCTTCAACCACACGTAGGAAAGGCACAGACAAGGACGCAGAGAAGCCAGGGCCACTCATAGGTCACACCGTGCCCAGCCCCAAGGCTTCCAGAGCCCGTGGTTCCCGGAGTCTCAGCAATGCTGGCCGCCGCGCAGGAACCAGCGTTACTGTCAAGGACCATTGGCGCCTTTGGGAAACCTGCGTTTCCTAACATTTCACAGGCAGTCCAGCTACTCGGCTTCTCACAGGGCGCATTCAGAGCAAACCCGTGGACCCGCGAGGTCTTCACTAAACTTGAGACCCTGTCATTTAAGTGGCGGAGGAAGAAGCCGCCCCAGACCGCCGGCCTGTGACGGGAGCCCCGCACCACCCGGGGCGCGCTGGCCGGAGACGAGCCCACCCATCAACTCCGACCTGGTTCAGTGACGGCCGCAGCCCCTCGGATGCCGGCGCGCACACCGCCGAGGCTCCCTGGAGCCCCCGACTCACCCGGACTGGCATCCGAGGCGCTCCGTCCAGCTGCTGCTCGGCGCCCGCGCACGGCTACGGGACGCGAGAGCAGTCAAGTCTGCTGACCCTGTCCGAGTTCGCGCTAGGGACGTCGCCGTTGGCCACTAGTCCGCGTCTGCCTACCAGCCGCCGCCTCCCAGCCCCTCCTCCCGCACAGCCTCTGGCCGCACAGCCTCTGGCGACTGGGGCTGCATCTGGCTCGGTGGAGGATGGCAGAGACGAGGGAAGACTGTTTTAAAAAATCCTTGGCCAGAGCTGGCCGCCTCTGCCCAGTCGTCGGGATGGGGCGGAGGGAAATGTGGGAAGAAAAGAAAAAGTCTTCCGCTCCCAGTCCAGCATGTCCCGTCCGCGCCGTGTCGCCGGCCTCCAGTCTCGAAGGGAGGGCGCTTAGGGCCGGGGTTCACACCGCCCCGGCCCCGCCGGACCGCAGGCCGTCTCTGGCCTTCCCTGGGCGCGCAGGTCGCCGGTGTTTCTTGGGGTCGCTTCCTCGTCTGCCTGGGACCGGAGTCCAAGTTTTGTGGTCAAGGGTAACCCGACTGGAGGCACCCCCTTGTGCCACTTCTCTGGGCATCAGTGAAATGGGAGGCCAGGGGCCTGGCTCCAGTGTTCTGGACTGTACCAGCCCTGAGCCCGTCGTCGTCACCGGATGGCAGGTGTTTGCTAAACTGTGCACGTCTGCTCGAGACGCACGGAGCACCAGTGGGCCACACGAATGCGAACCTGACCGACCTGCTGCTGGGAAAGCTTCAGAGACACAGCCCTTGTGGGCCACCGTGGCGGCTGGGCTCGCAGCTCATTTTCTATTCTTGCCTGTTGCCACTAGATTTTTATCCACATTTGCTATGACAGACACGTTTCGGTGTCACTGCTATGGCCTCTGTTCTGTAGCTTTTGTTTTCATTGTTTTTTTTATTTTATTTGAGCAGTTCATTACGCATCCCACACCAGTGAACTCAGGTGTGATTCACTTACTTTTCTCTTTCCCTTCCATTCTCTTTACAAATTTGAATTCGCTATTCAGGATCCAACTTCAATGGCTGTGTTAGCCCTTGACACACACTGCCTTGAACATGGACTTGTCTTTCCGAGCATTGTGTTCTGTCTGTCCTGCTCCATTGCAAATTGAGACCAATTTAGTCTAGTATGAGCAATCCCCTACTGGGGATTCTTAGGCACTGGAAGTATTAGGTTACTGAGCCATTGAATCTTTTCTCAACTTTGGGTTTAGCACCTCTCCTTTACAAACTAGTATAAAACAAATACACATCGATGTTCTATTTCTTTGGTAGATAGGATTTAGGTACAAATGGATCTGAGTAAAAGAGCCAGAAATCCAGTGTAGATGAAGTAATTCCTGATTAAAAAATGCACAAATTCCAAGAACATATGCTTAAAAATAACCACCTCGTGGGTCCCTGTTCTGCTTAATGAACTCAAACTTAAAATCAATAACTATAACTTAAAATCAATAAATACAGACCAAATGCCCACCATGACAAGGCCCAGTGATAAGGATTGTGAGTATACAATGGGCTTCACAGGGGTACCTTCCATTACTCCTCTGAATGTCATGCAATTTAAAATTATATATCATATTTCTAGGGCTTTCTATTTAATATTTTCAGACCACAGTCGACAGCAGATAAAGAAACCACAGGTAAGGGGGGACGACTGTATTTGCCTGATGGACGCTTCTAGATGCAGAGAAGATACGTAAATATTTGGAAGTCCCATGTCACTTCTTTGGATTATTGCAAGTGCCTCCTAATTGGTCTCCCTGCCTTTGCCCTTGCCCCCCTACAATCTGTTCTCAACCAGCAGCCAGAGAGACATGATAACAAAGCATAGTCCATACAATGTTATTCCTCTGCTAAAACCTTCCATTAGCTTTTGCTCATCCTTGGAGTAAAGATCCAAGTTCTTAGAAGCACTTGCTGGTCTGCCCGCCACCCCCCCCCCCCCACTCAGACTTCATTTCCTACTGCATTCCTCCTCCCTTACTCTGAGACAGCCACACTGGCCTTGTCCTCTGGGTGGCATGCTTGTCACACTCCCACCTCAGAACCTTGGCATCCGATCCTTTGCCTTCTTCATGTCTACCCAAATATCAATCTTCTGAGGCTCTTCCTGACCACCAGAATTAAAATTGCACAACTCTCCCGAAACACACACATATACGTGATCCCTACCGCTCTTCCTTGCTTTATTTGTCCAGAGCACTTGTCGTATTCTAATATGCTACATAATTTACCTTTTTATTTTATTTGACTTCCCCCACCAGACTATAAGCTCCAGGAGACCAGGGACTTCTAACAGTTCTCGCCTCAATGGAGCTTGCGTGCCAGCAGGAGATGCAGACAGCGATGTGTCTGGAGAAGGTTAAGACAGAACAATGGAATTGTGAGCACTTGGCTGGCTACTCTAGTAAGGTGCCAGGGAGAACCTCTCGAAAGAGGTGATGTTTAAGTTGCGGTGAGTGAAGGAAAGGAAGAAGCTAATGATGATCTTGGGGAAGAGACTTCCAGGCTGAGGGAATGACTAGCATGAGGAACCTGAGACCCCTGAGCGCACCTTTAGTGCCCTCAGGAAGAGAGGCCACCTGCATTCCTGAGCACAGTAGACAAGGAGAAAATGGTATGAGGTGAAGTCATAGAATTTGATAGGGTCACCTACGAGAGTAGCTAGATGGACAACTGACATAGGATATAAGTCAAGAAGAGAAAAACCAATAACAGACTGAGGAGGGGCAGCCATGGAGACCTGCTGTAAGTGGTGACATAGAAGCCCAAGAAAGTCTGGAGGAAGAACAGCCTATTAGGCCAAATGCTGCTAAGAGGTCAAGGAACATAGAGGCAACCAACAGACTTAGAAACACGGAGGTCATTTGTGACCAACAGTGGTGGGTTGAGAGGTGAAGTGGTGTAAATAATGATTAGATGTTTCAAGAAGTTTTGCTCTGAAGAGGAACAGAGCATGGAAGCCAAGGAAACAGTGGGGTAAAGAGAAGATTTTTATTTTCTTTTGTTTTTATTTGTGCTTATTTTAAATACAGAAGATACCACAGTGGTACCTTTTAGACTTTTCTCCAAGCCACAAGAAGGACTACATTTACATTGTGACATTACATACATGCTTAAAATTATGGAAACCAAAATTTCACAAAGCAATACTTGTTATGCATGCAGCCTTCTAATTTTTCATTTAAAAAATGCTTATAACCCACTAAAATATTGGCAAGTCCCACGAATGGGTTGTGATCTAACTTGAAAACACATTTAGCCAAATAGGAGGTGGCTCATACCACCTGCGGGAGCCAATTGTGCACCTTGAAATTGGTCAGGATGGGAGTATTTACACCATGGAAATAAGCAACTGCTACAACTTAGGACTCCCCTCCCGCAAATGTTAAACATTCACCAACACACTATTAACTGCTCACATGAGTGGTCCTCTCCTACAACAACATCAGCACCTCCTGTGAGCACTCAGCCTCTTTTTCCCCCTCCAGACCCCCTGTGTTCAGATTCACCAGGCTTACCTCTTATGTTCCACAGGATCACGTCCCAAATCTAGTCTTTCCAGGAGTGAGAATCAAGCTTCTAGAACTATAGCTTTGTCATAATACGAAAGAATCTTAGAGATGGAAAAGGCCTTCAGAATGCAAATTAAATTAATTCCTTCCAATGGATCAAAGAATGATATGCTATCCTATTTTTAAAATACTTTTCTTTTTTGTAACATATTTATTCATTTATTGTTTAGAGAGAGGGAAAGTGAGGGAGGAAGACAGGGAGAAAAGCATCAAAGTGAGAAGCATCAACTGGTTGCCTCTGATATGTGCCCTTAACCAGGGACTAAACCTGCAACCCAGGCATGTGCCCTGACCAGGAATCAAACCAGTGATCTTTAGGTTTGCCGGACAATGCCCGAACAACTGAGCCATGATAGTTAGGGATAATACTTTTCTTAAATGACTTGACAGACTATGGGATGTTAACCAAACAATGTGTGTTGTTATTTCACACGAGAAAAAATATGTCTGAAATTAGGTAAATTTTAAAAGTCAAAACAATCCTGTCTGGGTGGCTCAGTTGGTTAGAGCATCATCCTGTATACTGAACAGTTGGGTCCACTCAGGACACAGACGGGAGGCAAGCAGCCAGTGTTTCTCACATCAATGGTTCTTTCTCTTCCTAAAATCAAAAAGCACATCCTAGAGTGAGGATTAAAAAAAAAAAGGCAAAACAAAATGGAATACTTCAGAATAGGAAGAAAAAAGTATAAATAGAGGGGTGGGCAAAAGTAGGTTTACAATTGTAATACAAATAAATAATACAATAATTACAAACTGTTAACGCTCAGTATAATGTCAGTTCCTATAATCAAAGTCGCGAGAGTCACAATGCCAGTGAAGGCCTCCCTCAGCAACCGTTTCAGGACTTAGCCATCCCTCTGAGCACACAGTGCTCCTCTGCCAGCTTGTACTGACACAGCTCATTGTAAAAGTGACAAGGGAAACCTCAAGGGAAGAATCTGTGACATGTTGGAGCAAGCAAGAAGTCCAGGTGGTTTTTCCAAATTAAAAAAAAGAAGTTATTTAAATCAAATACTCTTCTAAAACCTTTTTATTTTGGACGTTTCAAAACATACCTGCAAGTAAAGCCTGTGATGGCCCCCATCTGCACACAGTCCGGCTCCAGCCGTAATCAGTGGTCCTGTGTGCTCTGTCTACCACCTCCTCACCCTCCTACCAATGGCTCATTTTAAAGCAAATCTCAGACTTCGTTTAATCTGTAAAAACTTCAAAACTGGTGGTT